TTTTTATATATATAAAGATTCGTCAATTCCCGAAAAAAAATATAATAAATCCTCAGAAGCCCAATAAAATCATTTCCGAGGCAATATTATTTATGAAATTACTAAACTTTTCAATTTGAAAACTCTTCGCTAATTGAATTTCTTGATAGTTTATTTTACTATATAATACACTCTTCAGTGTGTTATATTTATTATTAAGCTTTCAGACCTGCCAAAGGGTATGCAGTAGTTAAAGACCTTTTATAGATTGGGAACAGTTGCAAATATGTAGCATACTTACAAATAAAGTAGTAACTTATGTTAACTAACATTTTTCAGTCTGCTACTTATGTCTGTTAGCCTGATGATTTATAAATTAAATAATAAATTAAATAAAAATGTAATGAAAATGTTCCCCAACAGTGCGGTAATAGTACACTGGTAACAAATTGTGCATGTACCACCCTATGCTTAGATTAGAACTAAATATAGAAATTTAAGGAAATTTGTTTTGCTTGTATTTAACTAATTTCTTTGACTGACTGATGGCAAATAGACCTTAATGCTAAGACATTTCGGCTCTGGCATTAGCTGTTAGTTTTGTAAGTTATCCCCAATCAGCGCACTGATTGTCAGCTGTCAGCTGAACCTTTTTGGCCAAATTGAGTTGCTGCTGTGAGAATTTGCATAGTCTACAAGCGGGTTCTCAAATGAAACTCGGTTGGTCATCCTTCAACTTTGACAATAATTTGCATGCATAATTTATTTCCTTCGAATGGCTTAAACTGCCAGGTCATTTATTTGATTTTATTATTGTTGCGAATATTGGTTAAAATGGCATCAGTAAATTATTTTATTTACACGTTACAGCGTCCACAGACCTAAATGAGTAAAAAGTAATCGAAAATTATGAAATGTTATTTCAATTGGCAGCTCATTTTAGTTAATTTTTTTTTTTTTTTTTCACAATCGTTTTTATTAAACTGTGAATATATGCAAATTTCGAGAACATCAAGTAGAGCAGTAAACTCTCGGTGTTAATATACATTAATTTATGCGCTTATATATATATTTGTAAAAACACAGCGCATAACATATTGATATATACAGAATAATTTTATCAGCTTAAAAATTAATTTTAATTTAGATCTTGAATTTAGTTTATTATTTGCTTTCAGCTGAGAGACTTAATAATAATCTATACATCTTTAAGATGTCCTAGGAACAACTATATTTTTTTTAACATCATCATATATATACCGATGTGTCGCATTGTGCGTGGCAAAACTTCTGTACGTTGTTGCACTTTTTGCAATTATTAATATATATTGCGCATACGCCATGGTTGACGACTTTAATTAGCTTTACACACCTTCGCACCGCTCTGGCTCTCTCCGCAGCTAAGGTCAACGTGTCTGTGTGTGTGTGTGTGTGTGTGCATATTGTGTATATGGGTCAAGCAGCGCTAGCTCTCTGCTTTGCGTCGCGTACTTGGATAAAAAATGATGTGTGCGTGCGGCAGTTAAACGGCCCAGTAGAGGTGGCAGTGGGACCAGGTCAGGTCTTAAAGCTGCTGCTGCACGAGTGTATGTGCTTCGGCCTTTGTTACTTTTGCTGCTGCTGCTTTTGCTTTTGCTGGTATATGTGTGGCATATTGTCGACGTCGCCGTTGACGTCAAGCCGCACTCATCCTAGAAAGCCGAGCAGAAGGCGCAAAAAAGAAACTAAAATGTTGGCCTAGCGACTGCGTGCGAGGCAAGTGGCGCCAGTTTGTATTGTCATCCTTTTGCCCGTTCGCTTTTTGTCTTCTCTTAGCGCTTTGCTTTGCCATTTTTTGTTGCTGGAGCAGAAGCCAGAGCCAGAGCCGGAGCCGGAGCAGGAGCCTGAGCCTGTCATGTAGCTCTCTCACTGTTGCTGTACCTAGCTCTGTCTCTGTCCCAATGTCCCAGTGTCTGAGTGTCCTTGTGTCTGTGTGCGCCGGAGCGCTTTTTCTTCTTCTATTATTGTCTCACTTACAAGTGTACCCGATGTATTATGCATATCCTGTAACACTCCACTTTTGTTGTGCATTAGTCAAATGTGCGACAGTTGGAAAAAGGAGACGCCAGCAGCAGCACCACCAGCAGCAGCAGCAGCAGCAGATGGAGGGGCGTACACTGTGGGAAATGGGCATGGAAATGGAGCACATTTAGTCACACAATTGGCTTTGCATGGCCAATGGGGCAGGCGCTGGGCAAAACGTTGCCAACGAGCTAAATATTGTTGGCAGCCCTTTTTGTTTTTGTGTGAGTGTGTTTTTTGTTTTTGTTTTTTCGTATTCAAGGTAAGCAAATGAAGAAATTAAAGCGACGAATTAATAAGCACTTTATCCATTTCCTGTTCTGCCTTTAATTGGCCTCCTGCGATGGCTTTGTGCGTCTTAGTCTCTCTGGAGCTTTGTTTATATTAATATGCTTCCATAAGCCGCTGCAAATGTCCTTTCCCTCCCAACGCATTGCCAACCTCCCCTCGGTAGGGCAATTATCAGGGCGAAGGCGTCGACGTCGACAACGTCTGCCTCACAGTAATGCCATAAAAGTGCCACTTAAACTGTTTTAGTTTTTCTGTTGCTGTTGTTTTGTGCGTCCCTTTGAAGTTGCAGGTGGCAGTGCCCACTAATCCATCCACAGCAATGACACTGGACTACAAAATTTGGCCACCAATGCTGTGTACTGTCTGTTTCGAGAGCAACAATTTTTTTTTTTTGGCAAAATGTGTCGATGTGAAATAAAAGATATTTGGCAATATTTTCAATGAAGCAAATTTTTTTTAGGATTGAATTGGTTTAAAAAAAAATTAATAAATAAAATAAATTAAAAATAAAAATTTATTTATCATTAAGTTAATCAACTAATCAA